TCGAACCCGGGTACGGGCTGCTGAAATGGGCTTTCTTAGACGAGTCGCTGGCCTTACGCGTCTCGACATGATCCAGAATAGTGACATCCGGAAGAGCCTTGGATTACAGGTTTTGCTTCTCCAGATTGAGAAGTCACAGCTGCGATGGTTTGGGCATGTGCTGCGAATGCCTCCAGAACAGAACGCTAAGCAACTGTTTCTTGCTCAACTGACCGGCATAAGGCCCAAGGGACGCCCAAGATTAACGCGTTACAAATATGTCGAAGGACTTTTTTCCAGACTCCAGTTGTCTTTTTTCCGAAGCTCAGACTCTGGCACAAGATCGGGAACGTTGAAAACTTTGTCTGAAGCGTCTTCCTCCGCGACCCGCAAGGAAAAGCAGCCATAGAAGATGAATGAATAAATGAACTGATTGCTATATTTATCCTAAATTAGGATATAATGAATATATCAGACTCTTGCCATTTTTTGAAAATGTCCTTGTCATCTATAAGATCAAATGTCGGAAATGGGATATATTTTATAAGGTAAAGCATTTAGTGAATTGGGTGTTGGTATGGTGGTTCATGTATATGCTTATCAATATAATTCCATAGTACATTCTTCCGTCGTAGAGTGTTCATTGAATCAAGGACATGTATTCCATGAGGCTGAAATTTTTATTTTACTAATTCGAATAAGAATAATTCGAACCTATGGCAACTGTTTCTACGAAAGGATTTTTTCATATCGCCGTTAATGTATGTGGGTTTGTTTGTTGGTCTTCACCTCCATTCGTTTGCATAAATGGGACACCTCTGGTTTGTGATGTCTGCTGTGCTAGCAGCTTTTCAATGATGGGAGTCTTGTATATATAGCGCTAACCTGGTGTTATCCTCTTCCATTGCTAAAGTACTCGTTTCACTCACGCCATGTCCTTCGCCAGTGGTATGTGATGCAGTGCTGGCGTATTGAGCATGACAGCAGCAGATTGCGGAGAGACAGTTTTTCGGCGTAATATTAATTTGTGTGCAGGCCTTATAAATCTAAATTCTGTTGCAGTCACCAGGCTTTGTCGCATAAACTACATTAATTACTTCGTTTGGATTATTTTGATGAAGATTCTTAAAAGGAAGCATCCACTCATCAAAATTCATTTTCGTCCAGTTTGGACTCCATGTGACTTGTTCTGAAAGTTGGAGGTAAAGACGAACGGATATTACGGATCTGTTTTCTGGTAACATGATTTAAAGTAATGTTTGAGTGCAGCGGTTCAGGTTTTTAGTTGTTTGACAACGCCGGCAACTAAGAGTTCTGAAGAAAGCTCGTTTATATATCGTCAGTTTCTTCATACAGGCCTTTTCAGATGTTGAACATTACTGCTGCCGATGAAGCCTTTTCTTCACTCAGAATTTTGGATGAAGATACTTGGTGTAGAGAGTAGGTTTTAGGTAGACCGAAGATTTAGACTTCCAATGGTTCTTTTGGCTGTCACGTTTTACAAGTACGTCGAAGAACAGCAGGCATCGATCTCTTTTCTACGTATCAGTTTTCTCATTATGCACAAAGAGAACAATCCATTGATTGGTTACGGACCTAGAATGAAAAGCTTTTCTATGGAAATTCAAAATTTTGTCTCGAGTAAAACATATTGAATAGTCATGGTATAGAATAATTAGTACCCTGTCTAAAGTTTAAGTACTCATTAATATTGAGGTAAAAAACTTCAATCCGTGGACGGTGAACTTCGATTAAGTACGCACAGAGTTATGAACGGACTATGCGTTATTGAAATAACGTGTATAGTGAAGTAACATTGCTTAAACAATGTTATTTCAAGTTATTGATTTGCCCCCGTTCTTTTATTCCTGTGCTATGACTATCGCTTGTAAATTTTCTACTTTGTCATGGCAATGTTCGTTCAGAAAGAGCACGGCTGAGGACCGAGCAGAGCAAGCCGACATAGCCGTGTTGCAGGCTCAAGAAGATTGCGACATCGCTCGTATCTGCGCCAAGCAGTTCGCTCCCGACTTCCATCAACCTGGTGAGTGTCGTCCAAGTGTGGTGATCGCTTGATGCTCAGGGCATAACCGTTTTGTGTAGGTGCGGAGATGGTCGATAAAGTGCGGGCCAATGAGGCGGCTGCATCTCAGATGGCGCAGTACCAATTTGGCGGTGGTGATGATCGGAAGGCACCGTTCGTGAATGCTGCTTCGGCCGACCGTCTACCTCAGTCGGTTCCGAACGTGGCCGGTGTCGAACAACCACCCGCGACGAACCTGTCAACTCAGAGAGTACCTCAGCGATTGCCTGAACGAGCTGTTCCGTTCAGCTCGATGCTGTCGCAGTCGTTCGGACCCAGCGTACCGTTGAGCAACGCTGCACCAACGCAGTCAGATACTTCTGCCT